AATAGGGGAGGTGGGAATATCTTCCAACCTCTCCCTTTTTATTTCAGAGTCTCACTTCCTAGTAATCCCCTCCAACCTCCCTTCCTGCATTGTGGGTTTAATTAATGCAATTAACACTTACAAGATGCTGTTGCCAGCCTGGAGGACATGAATGACATCACTTCTCAGCTTTACAGAAGGGTTGGGGGGAGTTCCTGGGCCTCCTCCCAGGGTCTCATTGGGGGTGCCACTCATCCTTATGTCTGCCACTTCGCATTTGGACACGTCTGACCTGGTTCAGTTGGAACACAAGCACCGTTCACTAATGAGGCAGGGCCTTGCAGGAAGAACCTTGAGGGTGAGCCCACCTCGCACGGCTGCCCACCCCTCAGTCACATGCTGGACCTCAGCCTCTGGGAAAGGGTCAGAGTTCACCCTGCCTCGGGAGGTTAGATCACCACCTCCTTTCAAGCTAAACACTCGGTTGGTATATCGTGTCCCTCAGCCAAAAAACTATAGCCCCTGAGATGGAGGATGCATTGTTAGAACCTTATAATGTATTCTCTGTGGCCTTGTTTCCTGTACAGCAGTTACAGGCACGTGCCCCGGACTGCCTGGGCATGAGTCTTGGTGCTGCCACTTTGTTGAGTGACTTAATTAATCGGAGCCTGTTGAGCAGATGGATAACAGGACTGCCTCAGGATGGGGGACAGGATAAGAGATGTTTGTACTGCCTTCAGCTTAAGTAGGAACTGGGGAGCTGTGACTACAACAGTGGAGTGACGAGGTGCCGTTCGAAAGCTGGGATGCCAGCCATTCTGGAAAAATCTCAGGAAGGTGCCACCTCTTTCAAGGAGGTAACCCAGCCAATTTTTCCTCTGGCCCTGGAACGATCACACTAGATAAAGCAGTTGGCTTGTGTTGGGGGAACACATTATCCGGAAAGTGCCAACCTTGAATCACTAGAAGCCAAACTGAGATAACATGGGATGAGGTGAGGGAGATGTATATCTGTCCTTACACACCCGTCTCTGGTGCTAATTTATTCCTGTTGCCAAGGGCATGTATTTTCTTATTTAACTTCCCTGGACTATTGCACTTCAAGGCACATTGACCAAGTATGTCTTATGTTACTTAACCTCTCTGCCTCAGTTTGCTCATCTATACAATAGGGATAATAGTGTTTACCACATTTAATAATTAAATGAATGAATACAGGTGAAGCAGAGAAGAATGCCTGGCATCTAGTAAACACTGAAAAAGTCAGTCTGTTATCAGGTGAGTGGATTTGTATGTTTACTTGAGCAAAGGCCTGTGGGAGAAACCTTCCTGGCTTTTGAGATGTGGTTTCTGAAATCTGAGTAATAAGGAGGCAGGTGGTAGGGAGATGGAAGGACTTCAAGGCGGAGGGAACAGCAGCAGTACACACCTGGAGGCTGGCTTTATCTGTCTCGGTAGAATGTGGACAGGGAGAGAGGGCATGAGCTGGGTGCTGGTTGTGGCAGAAAGGCAGCCAGGGCAGTTAATGTTATCGAAAACCCTCTGGTGAAAGCTACAGAGAGCGAATATTTTATGAAATCACATTGAATTATGCACCTGGAAAGAGTATTTTCACCTGCCTAGTTCACCCCCGGCACTCAGGTAGTGGGTTGGTTTTCTTCTCTGAATCTTCCTCCAGGTCCCATGGATCTAGTTCTAGGGGCAGATGTTTCCTGAATGTGGAGATTTGGCTTTGGGAAGGTGCTCTGCTCACAAGTCCCTCAGGCAGGCCTGCAGCACAAATTGGCAGTGCTGAGCCCTGGGGGGAAGCCTGAGGTGGTTAATCATTGCTGGCGCTGGGCAGCAGCTCACCTGGGCCTGTCTAGTCAGTTGACCCCGTGAGGAGCTGTCTGAGGGAACTCTGGGTCCCCCAGATGAGAGGGAAGTCATGCACTTTGATTCAGCTTATGATCTGCTACCAGCTCCTGATTAGAAACCATGTCTACCCCTCCACAGAGCTCCTGGTGTCTTACACCCGATGGCCCAGCCTCCCACCTTTTGCCAGGTTACTTCGTTCCCTGGTTTGGCCTGGAGTGAAATGCAGGAAATTATTACTTTGAACCACACTCCAGCAGTTTTCCTGGGATTCTGTCTGCTTGATCTCGCCGGGACTGGCCATAGGTCAGGTAGCCTGTTCTAATTCCAGGTCAGCGCTTGGGAGTGAAAGGTACTGAGAGGCGGCCTATTAGGCAGGGTCAGGAATTCCTTTCCCTGGGGCTGGTGAGATTCCTTAACATGTGTTGAGAAACTGAACCCGCACAGCCTAGAACCAAGGGGGGTAAATATTACATTGTACTCCCTATCAGTATATACAAGGGAGGGAGAGAGACAGAAAGAGAGACACATAGATTGGTTGCCTCCCACACATGTCCTGAATGGGGCTGGGGATTGAGCCTGCAACCTAGGTATGTGCCCTTGACTGGAATCGAACCTGGGACCCTTCAGTCCTCGGGCCCACTCTCTATCCACTTAGCCATACCGGCTAGGGCCAGAACATTGCCTCTTTAACTTGCATATTAATCATCCATGGAGCTTGTGAAAATGTCTGTCCTGATTTAGTAGGTCTGGGATGGTGCCCGAGATCCTTCAGTTCTAACTGGCTCCAGGTGATTCGAAGGGCACTGGTCCTTGGGCCATGTGGAGAATAGTGGAGGTCTAGTTGCCCTACACCCATGCCTGGGGAATGGACAGTTGCAGAGGGTGGAATCTGGGGATACCCTTCCCCCCTCCGCCCAGTGACAGCGGGAATCCGCCTGGGGGTGCTATAGGCCTCTCAGACTGAGCCCCACAGCGCCCCCTGGTGGGTACGACACCAGCGTCACCACTGCAGCCCTGTATACTAGATAGTTCTAGAAGGAACCCCGGCATGCCAGTGTGAGTCATCTTGCATTTCGTGTCATATGGCTTCCTGTGTAATCTGTCACTGCATGGTAAGTCCCTGAGACAGGGCTCCGGGTCCGTAGTGTCTGTAGGCAGCCATTTGCTGGGGAAGCTTTCCCAGGCCAGGTTCCACGGCATGAAGGTGTGGTAACTGCGTCATGAAGGTGTGGTACCAAATACTTTTGGAATTGTTTTGGGGAAACTAAGAAATAGGAGTCTGCCCCTGGCTAGAGAGCTCAGTTGGTTAGAAGGCCGTCCCAATAAGCCAAGGTTTGCTCTCGCCAGGTTTGATCCCGGCCAAGGGCACATGCCTGGGTTGCAGGCTCGATCCCCAGTAGGGGGTGTGCAGGAGGCAGCCAATCAATGATTCTCTCTCATCATTGATGTTTCTATCTCTCTCTCTCTCTCTCCTCTCCCTTCCTCTCTGAAATCAATAAAGAAATATATTGGCTATGAGATTTGGGGAATGGCCCCTCATAGTCCCGGATTGCAATAAATGTGACTCTTTAATTCGACTTCTTGAGGCGTCCTTCTGTGATTTGCGGGGTTGGATTTACTTTTGGCAACCTGGTTGGAATGTATCTGGCTCAAAATTATGACATGCCAAACCTGGCTAAAAAACTTGAAGAAATTAAAAAGGACATGGATGCCAAGAAGAAACCCCCTAATCCATGAGGCCAACTCCAGCACTGGCTCCAGGAAATCCTGACTCTCCTCTTCTCCAGGGCCTCCTTTACACCTGAACCAAAGCTTCTGTCTTCTGTCCAGTCTCAGCCTTTGCTTCGAGCACAAATGGGGCCACAAGTTAAGCACTGTGCTTACTTTCCCAACATCCTCACCTCTTCCCTTCCTCCTAGCAGCTTGGGAGGGCCTCAGACTGGAATTATGGTGCTAGATTAGTAAACATGACCTTTAATTAGTTAAAAAAAAAAAAAAAGAAAGAAATATATTTAAAAAAAATAAGCCAAGGTTGTGGGTTTGATTCCTGGTCATGGCACATATAAGAGTCAAGCAATTAATGCATAAATAACTGGAACAACAAATTAATGTTTCTATTTCTCTCTTAAAAAAATAAAATTAAAATATTTTAAACAAAGAAAGAGAAAGAAAAAAAATAGCAGTCTGAGGGCCTCACCCTGTACTTAGGCTCTAATTCTGCAATGGCCCCACTTCTTAGATGGGATTTTCGACTTAACAGTAGTAAGGTCTGTGTGTCTGTTTTCCTCTTCTATAAAATGGGCCCACAATGACATTGGGAGGGTGGTTGAAATGAAAGGTACAGGTTCTTACTGCCAACAGATGTGTTAGGTGGTGGGCCAGGTCGAAGGTCACTGCCCTTGAACCCATCTGTGAAGACCTGGCCTGAGCTGGTCTTAGCTGCGTAAGTGATGGTGCATTTCCCAGGAGGAGCAGCAGTAGGAAGACAAAGGCCCAGAGTGGGGCAAGGCTGGAGCAGGTTGGGGGCATGCCTCCTGTTCACTGTCCCAGTCCTTTGCCTGTGCTTCCTCTTATCCCTTCGCTTCTTGGGAACTTGGGACTCTCAGCCTCAGCTGGTGAGGGTGGAGAGGAGAGAGCGACAGGCAAGCAGACCAATGGGTCCCTGAGGTTGGGGTGGGGCGGGGCTTGTGCTGCCATGGAGAAGAGAGAAGCTGTTCTGTGGGGGAGGAGGGGGCGGTAGGAAGAGGACCTGGAGATTGAGGGGAAGGGAGAGAGCAAACAAAGGGGTCAGGAGGGAAAATAATGCACTGGCTTCCTGAGGCCCCACAGAAGCTGGGCAGGGAGAAGGGGCCAGGGGCAGAGGGGACCAAGGCCAGCGGCAGTCAAGGCTGAGGCGCAGGCGGTTACTAAATGGCATTGTTTGAAGTGGCCAGCTAATTGCACAGAGCAGCCCGAGCCTCAGACCAAGGCCCAGCCTCCTGGGTGCTGGCGTCTGAGCCTTCGGGCTGCCTGGCCACATGGAACCAAGTCCTGAGCCTCCGAGTTTGGTGAGGGGGGCAGGCTATGGGGGCAGTCTGGGTGGGGTCCTTGGGAAAGGAGTATCACCCTGAGCCTATGTCTTAGGGTTTCTCTTGGCCTGAGGGCATAGAACCATAGGTGGGAAGTTTGCGGGTACGCTGCCCCTCTAGCCCTTGCTTCACTGCTACCCTATCCATTCTGACCCTCTCACAGGAAACAATGAAGGGAGACACCAGGCCACTCAGCAGAGAGGAGGATGCCAGCGGGAGGGAAGACTCCATCATCACCAACGGGGACTGCAGCAACCAGTCTTCTGACTCCAAGGACGCGCCGTCACCCCCGATCTTGGAGGCCATCAGCACCCCGGAGATCAGAGGTGGCGGGGCCTGTGGGGAGGTGGGGTGGCACAGACACTGGACCGCAGCTGGGACGTGAGCCTCCCTCTGAGCAGGCTGCAGGCAGATTGTGGGGAGAGGGTCTGGTCCCCGACTACCTGCCAGGGAAGGGAAAAGGAGGATATAGGCAGAGCCAAGGCCATTTATCATCCCTGCCACAGCCCTCGGCCTCCTTCCTCTCCTCACCTCAGCTGAGACTTTGAGGAGGTGACATCCCTGTTTTTTTCCCCAGTCACCGTGGGGGTGGTTGCAGCATAGGCTAGGGTCTTTGGCTCTTCTGGGACCCTGTTCCCTGGCATCTGGACTGACTGGGAAGAAAATCACTCAGGCCGGAGGGGGCTGAGGACTACCTTTCCTTGCCTCAGCAGTTCCCCAGGTCACATGACCTGGGATCCACCTCACTGAGCTTGTCTAACCCAGATGGTTAAGAAAATCCTGTACTGCCCCATCCTGTTATTGACAGCGCCTCACACTGTACTGTCTGATAGAACTTTGCAAGGGTGAAAGCGTTCTATTTCTGTATTGTTCACTACAATAGCCAGTAGCCACATATGAGCACTTAAAATGTGGCTGATGTGGGAGGCACTGGATTGTTCATTTAAGTGTAGTTAGTGCCACTGAATTGGGCAGCACAGTTCTGGAAGGACTTTGATGCCTTCTCTCATGAGAACCTCTAGTTTTGTTTGGATCTTATAAAGTGCCTGGCCCGGGCTGCCCCTTCCACAAAACATAGACTGCGTTTCTCTTTCCTCCACAGGCCGCAGATCAAGCTCACGACTGTCCAAGAGAGAGGTCTCCAGCCTGCTAAGTTATACTCAGGTATGGGCTCTCCTCTGCCTCTTTCAGGATTCAGGGTTATTCCCTTTAGCTTTCATTAAATGGGGTACACAAGGTCCACCTAAATGGGTGCCTCATAAATATTTGTTGAATGATGAATCTGAGGACTGCTAGGCACACAGTACTTTGAACAACCTCACACTTAGCATGTCATGTGCTGCCGTTGTATGCCAAGTTTTTAAAAAAATCATAAACCTTTATTTTACTAAATTATGAAGTCTTTTACTAGCTGCTTCCTGCATATTTTTTTTTAAGAAAAATATATTTTATTGATTTTTTTTTTTTTTACAGAGAGGAAGGGAGAGGGATAGAGAGTTAGAAACATTGATGAGAGAGAAACATCGATCAGCTGCCTCCTGCCCACTCCCCACTGGGGATGTGCCCGCAACCCAGGTACATGCCCTTGACCGGAATCGAACCTGGGACCCCTCAGTCCGAAGGCCGACGCTCTATCCACTGAGCCAAACCGGTTAGGGCTCCTGCATAATTTTTGAAATTACTTTTTCTCAATCTGGATAATCAGTTAAATTGATACATTCCTAATGTAGCAAAATGTCCTTTTATTCCTGGAATGAGTTCAATTTTAACTTGGGCACATTATGTTTTGAATTTGGTTTACGTTTTAGCATGTACTCATGAATTAGACAGATTTTAGACAGATTTTATTTCTCATAATGTATCTGTGTCTGGTTTTGATGCACATTGTAACAAGTCACCTGACTTGTTCTAGGGAATTGTTTTGCAGTCATTGCAATATCAGAGTTTCTACTTGATCAGTTTTTTTCCGAGTTACAGTTTTTCCTGACATTATTTGTGCCTTCTGTCTTGTTAATTCCCTTAGAGTTTTGTCAACTTGGTTAACTTTTTTCAAAGAACCAGTGTCAGGCATCAGGGACAAAGTCATGATAAAAGTGGACAAATGAAAGCTCGCCCTTTATTACAGCTTCTATTCTGGTGGACACCCAGCTGATGGGGACAGTGTGCTGGGTGGCAGATAGTTACCAGGAATAGTAATGAAGTCTCCTGCCTGAGCAATTTCTCAGTGCTGGCCTTGGGTGAAATGTGCTATAACCCTGTTGTTTCATAAGGGAAGTACTGTTGCTCCAATTTTATTTTATTTTATCCTCACCTGAAGGTATGTTTTTACTGGAGAGAGAGACAGAGACAGAGAGAAAGAGAAAGAGAAAGATAAATATCAATGTATGAAAGAAACATTGATCAGTTGCCTCCCCATGAGGATGTACCCTGACTGGGAATTGAACCAGCAGCCTTTCACTATATGGGACGACGCTCCAGCCAAGTGAGCCACACCACCCAGGCTGTTATGCCAATTTTAAAGACGGGAATGGACATACTGAAGGCCACACAGTTGAGACTTGGGTCAGGTCTCCCTGCTAAGGATAGCAAATTAGGCTAAGGCGTAGACCAAGAAGTCTTCATGATGTATATTGGCGTCACACAATTTCTTTGGTTTTCTGATTCCACTGGGGTTTTATTTTTCAATCATGTCTTGAATTCATGATCCTATGGTTTGAGCTGTTGTAAAATTTGTTTGGAACCAAATTAGGTAGTTGAAAATATTTTTAGGTCTCTTGGACCAACATTAAGATTGTTGATTTTAATATGATTGACTGTTCATTTTTAAGTTATTTTGGTTTTATAACCTGTTCATGATATCCTGAAGCACATGTTTCATTTATAAAGGATCTGACGGGTGATGGAGATGGCGATGAGGAAGATGGAGATGGCTCCGACACTCCAATAATGCCAAAACTCTTCCGGGAAACCAGGACTCGGTCTGAAAGCCCAGCTGTAAGTCCCCACCCCTGAGCCAAGGCACCATCTCAAACCACTCATAGACCTGTATTAAAAAAACATGTTTTGGATCTCCTAGCAGTGGTCGGCAAACTGCGGCTCTCGAGCCACATGCGGCTCTTTGGCTCCTTGAGTGTGGCTCTTCCACAAAATACCTGCTCTTCCACAAAATACCGACTTCTTAGCATGGGCCACGAAGTTTCAATTGCACTGTACATGCGTGCTCGCACGTGGTATTTTGCGGAAGAGCCACACTCAAGGGGCCAAAGAGCCGCATGTGGCTCGCGAGCCGCGGTTTGCCGACCACGGTCCTAGGTGGACTTTGAAGAGAAGTAAACAGTTTTAGAAGTAGAAAAATGATAGCAAGGCTTATGAAATATTGTTTTCTTTCACATGGTAGTTTTTAAACTCTTAAAACACTCTTGGAAGTGCCCAAGGGTGATAGAGTTGGCAGGTGGTTGGCTCAGTGCCAGTTACCTATGCGAGTCACTTCTGTGGGTGGATTCTGTGAATGGAAGATACTTACTGCTCTCGGGCAACCCAGTATGTTAGCGAGCCGGCTAACACTTGCTGACCATTGCAGGTGCAATTTGTAATCACACTCTGCTCTAGGATATGATGTGTATCATCCCCCTTTTTGCGGACGAGAGAAGATTCTGGTAACTTACCAATGGTTCAATCTTAACTATTCTGTAGGATTCCAACACAGGTCTGCAACCCCCAAGCTCATGCCACTTTGAGAAAGAAGCCCAAGGCTTTCCATCCATCTTGAGGATCCAGTACCTTCCTGAAGAATGCAATAACTATTCTAATGCTTTTTGGGGGAAAACATGTTTCATTGCGAGTAAACTTGGATTTTATTTTTCAATCCAATTTACAGGTGGCAGTTTCAGCTGTGACAGGCAGTGGGGTCTGCTGTGGAGTGTCTGTCAGCCCTGCTGGCTATCCTAACCCCTTATCGCATGAGCTGGGGAGTGTCTGGGTGGGAAGTTTGCAGTCTAGAGTCTTCCCTTCCCCCACTTACATCCCTCATGCACTTCTGTTGACCTGAAACTACCTCTTAAGCCCAGTCCTCTGGGCCCCCTGCGCGACACCACATGCCTGCAGTCACCAAAGGCCTCGTGCTTATCCTCTCTTGCTTCTAGGTCCGAACCCGAAATAACATCAGTGCCTCTGGCCGGGAGAGGCACAGGCTCTCCCTCCGTTCCACCCGAGGCCGGCAGGGCCGCAATCACATGGACGAGTCCCCAGTGGAGTTCTCAACTACCAGGGTTGGTTCCCGGATGCTCAGACCCCTGCCCCCACCTCTAAATGGAAGATCTCACTGCACCATGAAAGTAGCCAGTGTACAACCCTAACCGGCTTCTGTTCTTCACACTCCTCTGCTTTTCAGGGTCTTGCCTTTCCTTTCTCTCCTGGGTGCTGGGTAAGCTTCTCTTCAGCCTGGTGACCTGCCTCTCTGGCCTGATCCTGGATGGAACTGTGGTGGGAATGCAAGAATTACCTGATGACTGGGATCTTGCCCCTCCTTGGAAACGAGCTATAAGCCACTGACTTCCAAAACTCTCTTGTCTCCCTGGTTATCTTCACTGACTGTCTTGAGAACACCCGTAGGGGTTACAGCAACTCTCCGCTCCTGTTGCAAGTTTGGGCACGCAGTGTAAGCACTGAGGAAGCCAGTGGTCCTCTCTGAGCGTGGCTCTGTGTGCCTCTATGTGGGCATCACTCATTCTATGCCTCTGTCCTCAACTGTCTGTTTTGATGGGAGTGGCTTTGCTCTCTCCCACCACTTACGGGATACTTGGTCACGGAAAACCATTCTGATTGGTCTCTGTACTCTTTAACTGACGTCTTTGTCCTCACTTTCTCTGCTTGCCTGGGAGGCAGTCGGGGTGCCGCTTATCTCTGGCCATCCACCTGGTTTGCTGTGGCCCAAGCTATGTGTCCTTCTGTCCACAGTCCCTGAGGCGGCGCACAGCATCATTGGCAGGCACACCATGGCCGTCCCCGGAGAGCCCCTACCCCACCATCGACCTCACCGATGACAGTGTGGTGCCCCAGAGCAGCAGTACCCCTTACACCCGCCTGGCTCAGGACAGTCAGCAGGAGAACTTGGACTCCCCACAGATGTACACAGAGGGCAGAGACACAGACGGCACCGAGTATCAGGTACCACCAGGAAGGGGTGAATTTAGGAGAGAAAAGCATACTGTGACTGGGGGGACTATTACTACAATTTTGGATCACTTTTGGCATAATATTTGAATTCATTCAAGTACGTTTCCCACATGTGACATGACCCTTGACCCTACTTATCTCCCAGATCTCTCAAGCACATGATTCCTGGTTTTCTGAATATTATATATTTACACCTAGAAATATGTATACTTTGTATACATAGTGCATGATTCTGTTGATCATAGTATAGTATACATGCAATTGTTGATTGGCTTTTTTCACATTTTAGGAAAATGAGTTGTCTTTCCTGTCTATAATCAACAAACTGGGCTTGTTTTCACTCAAGCACTGCTGTATACTAGTAGTTAGGACATATCTATGTACATATATTGTGAAGAAATCCTTTTTTCACCATACATTACTTCAGAGTAGATTACACCATATATTCTAATAACTTTATTATTCTTATGGGCACCCCACATTTTATGGCAAGCTATGTGTAAATGGCCAAAATTATTTTATTTTTTTTTGCATTTTAATGGCTTTGTGCTACCGAATCTCATGGCCTGTGGTGGAATATTCAGCTGATTGTCGTTATTTTATTCTGATGTATTTCCTGTTAGTTTTCAGTTGACATCTTTCATGCTTAAATGCTAGGTTAAATGTTACAGATCTAATATAATAAACCCCACATTCCTATCAAACAACCAATCCTGCCCATCCATTGCCCCTTATATTTTTAAATTTCTTAATTTTAATTTTATTTTTTAAAGATTATTTTAAATTTTAGATTGAGAGAGACTGGAAAAGATTGATTTAAAAAAAATTTTTTTTTTTTTGAGAAACTGATTTCTTCCACTTGCTTATGTATTCATTGGTTGTTTCTTGTTTGTGCCCTGGCTGGAAATTTAACCAGGACAATGCTCTAACCAACTGAGCTACCTGGAAGGGGCCCACTGCCCCTTATTTTAAGCCGTTCTCACTCATACTTTTTCTACCATGAAGTGTTGGAGGTGGGTAGATACTGTCCTGAGGAGGTCTGGCAGGCACTCCAGGGAAGCCCTGGGCGGCACCCTCAGGCAGTTGCCACTGGGGTCAGAGGGGCTGCAGTTTTGCTTGGCCCAGGTAGTCCGTCTCATTAGGATTCCTTCATGTGGTTTATCTTGTAGGATGGGAAGGAGTTTGGAATAGGGGACCTCGTGTGGGGAAAGATCAAGGGCTTCTCCTGGTGGCCTGCCATGGTAGTGTCTTGGAAGGTCACCTCCAAGCGCCAGGCCATGGCCGGCATGCGGTGGGTCCAGTGGTTTGGCGATGGCAAGTTCTCTGAGGTGAGTCCAGGGAAGGGCAGACTGTCATGGGCCTGCAGACCCACAGCGTTTCTGTCCTTTCCTTTTGCAGTTGCCTTTTGAGATAAGGGCCTGTGCCTTGCTATTTCCAGATGGGTGAGGCTATGTTTGACTCTGAATCCAGCAGGAATAACACATCTTCCTTGTAAAATGGCTTAAAGAGACACACACAGGGTCTTGTGGGCCAGAGCTCAGTCTACCCTTACAGGAGACAAATGGATGGAAGTCCTCTGGGTCCATGGCCACTTGGTCTCTGATGTGTTCCCCCCACCACCCTGGGGCAGAAACAGGAAGGGTGAACCTAATTTAGCCCTGCAGAGGTGGCAGATAGGCACCTCTAAGTAGCCTAGAGTTGGTCTAGAGTTGCCTGGTGATATAAAAAACTTTGCAGAGTTGGTTATTTCAGGGTTTCTCAATTGTTGGTGTTAGTCATTTTAAGTTCATCTTTCTTGAAAGTCTGCCCCATAACAGTGGTGTTAGAGACAAATAAATTAGGCTGTTGTGATCCTTATATCTAGTTTGAAGGCACATTCTGAAGTCTCCAGGTGTTTTTTTGTTTTATTTTGTTAATCCTCACCTGAGGATATTTAGTCCATTGATTTTAGAGAGAGTGGAAGGGAGGAGGAAAGATGGAGAGACACATTGATGTGAGAGAGACACATCGATTGGTGCCTCCCACATGAGCCCAGGGGCTGATGCTCTAACCACTGAGCACCCAGCTAAGGCTGAAATCTCCAGGATTTGAGTAGAATGTTGCAGACAATAGATTTCCTGGAGTGGTGTCTTTTTGAAATGTTCCTTTAACCTTCACTATGCCCAGAGATTAGGTGAGGATACAGAACAAATTAGATGGAGGCAGATGTGGGAATGAAGGACCCTCTAGTACATTTGTGGGATTTGGCCTCAAGTTGAGGTTCTGGTTTCCTATGAATTGGGCTTCCTTTGCGCCATTTGCTATAAACGCATTGAAGTTCCCACAGGGCAAGTCTCCCTGCATGCTGATGTCCTCGTTGGCCAGCAGAGGGAGCAGGATAAGCTCTCCTTGAAGCATTCTAAATCAGCGATTCTCAACCTGTGGGTCTCGACCCCTTTGGGGGGTCAAACGACCCTTTCACAGAGGTCGCCTAAGACCATCAGAAAACACATATATAATTACATATTGTTTTTGTGATTAATCACTATGCTTTAATTATGTTCAATTTGTAACAATGAATACATCCTGCATATCAGATATTTACATTACGACTCATAACAGTAGCAAAATTACAGTTATGAAGTAGCAATGAAAATAATTTTATGGTTGGGGGTCACCACAACATGAGGAACTGTATTAAAGGGTCGCGGCATTAGGAAGATTGAGAACCACTGCTCTAAATGCAGGGATGTGGGCAATGAATTCTGTGAAATGAAGAAGCACGAATTGTTTGTGATTGCTTTGTCTTGGTGAGACATAAAATGCACTTTGCAAGACTGAGTCTGATGCTAATAAGATAAAGTGTGGGGCTGTTAGCATTAAGGAAGGGATTACCATGTGGGGCCTGGTGCTAAGCCCCCATGCTACATTGGAGCATCTTGGTGTTGGGAACAGCATCTGCATTCAGTGGACAACCTTGTTGAGCCCCAGTTTTTTCTAGCCTAGATATGGATGTAGAGTTGCCTGGTAACAGGAACCCCCACCTCATAGGACCTTGGGCTAGAGGTATATGTGAGTGCGAGCACGTTCCGTGGAGAATGAATCATCATGTGTGTCTTCGAGTCTGATCAGCACCCCAAACACCCAGTTTTATTACTTCCTGATTAGTTCCTGCATGGCCTTGGAACTTGGGGCATGAGATTTTATGGATCTTTAGCCCCAGTGGAAGGAAGATATCAACAAATAGTAAAAATAAAAAATAAATAAAAAAAAACTTACACTGTGCCAAACACTGTTCTCTAAACATATACTAAGTTCAATTAATAAATTAATAAAAGGCTAAGTGGTAATCATAGCCATTTGTCACATTTACAAAGGAGAGGGAAGAACGTGTGCAAAACCCCAATGTTGGAGCATCACAGAGAATTTCAAGACTGACCTGCAAGGGGCCCACAGCAGGGACCATGTGTGTCATTTGCCCTTAAAATATGTACAAACACAGGGTGCCTCTAATTGTATCCACTTGGAGCAGAAACTTTCTCACACTGGGAGTGTCCACCATGCTTCTGGCTATAGGGTGCATCAGGAGTGTATTTATCATTTCTACTTTTTATTCTTTCCCCTTTTTTTGAATCTGAACTTGATCCCCTGGAATAACCCTGTGAGAGACAGGTCACCCCAGATGCAGGGTCGGTGGATATTGATGATGTCTTTCTCTTTTAGGTCACTGCAGATAAGCTGGTGGCCTTGGGGCTATTCAGCCAGCACTTTAATCTGGCGACCTTCAATAAGCTGGTCTCTTATAGGAAGGCCATGTACCACGCTCTGGAGGTAACACGGTGGTGGGTGGTTAGGACCTGGCCCCCAGAGCAGGATTAAGACAAGAGACATACAGAAAGCTAGCTCAGGCCACAGTGTAACCAAGGATGGCTTAGAAGGGACAGGGCCACCAGGCAGGAGGTGAATGCAAACTTGTTGGCCCAAGGGCCAGACTGGGAAGGAAGGAAGGGATTTGAGCCTTCCCTTTGACTCTGAGTACTAACTACTTCAGCTTCTCCCTGGTGGTTCTCAGTATTGCTGACGGAATTAAGAAGGAGAAGCACTAGAAAGTGGGGGACAGTGTTTACAACAGTGAATAATGCTTTTCCAGAGCTATCAAAACCTTCCTTTATTTAAAATTTTTTAATTGATGTCAGAAATGAAGGGGAGGGGGAGAGAGATAGAAACATCATGAGAGAGAATCATTGATCGGCTGCCTCCTGCATGCCCCTCACGAGGATCAAGCCCGCAACCCAGCATGTGCCCTGTCCGGGAATCGAACCCTGACCTCCTGGTTGACAGGTCGACGCTCAACCACTGAGCCCGCCAGCTGGGCAAAACCTCCTTCCTTTAAATGGTGTTGCTCAAGGCCAACACAGGGCAGCCGCTGAGGACAGCTGCCTTTTCCCCTTGTCTGTGGGATCCATCAGGCTCTATCTATCTTTCCCTTTCCCTGGACTTAGAACTGAACAGATCAGTGGCCTTTGCCCAGCATTTATGAACCAGCCTCTGCCGAGTTAGGAATCCTCCTAGTGCTTCTTAAATAAGACTTAAAACTTGACACCTCGCCATCTTCATTAGGAAAATAAACCAAGAAATCTGGAGCTTTCTCAGAGTTGATGATACTTCTTTATCTAAAAGTAGCAGTGCTAATTCTGATCCTCTGCTCTCCGAGAGGGAGCTGACCACTCAAGTTCTCCGCAGAGAAGAGGTCATATTTGGTGCCTGGATGGCCTCCCGCCTGTCCCCTGCACAGGCCCCTCCCTGTCACATACCACGCCCAGGACAGCTGCCTGGTTATGAAAGGCCCAGTGTGAAGGGGAATGCAGGCCCCAGCTGGGGGAGTCCCTGGGTGCCACCTGGCGAGCACCCACCCCTGCTGTTCATCACAGACTCGCCTTTATCTCGCCAGAAAGCCAGGGTGCGGGCTGGCAAGACCTTCCCCAGCAGCCCCGGAGACTCATTGGAGGACCAGCTGAAGCCCATGTTGGAGTGGGCCCATGGGGGCTTCAAGCCCACCGGGATCGAGGGCCTCAAACCCAACAACAAGCAAACAGGTGGGAATGGGTCCCTGGGGCAGCCCTGACTGCCATTGCTAGTGGGAGCACCCTTGGGAGATGCAGCCACCCCTCCTGCCCCTTGCCCCACCCCAGCTTTGCAGCAACCAGTCAGTCTTGGAGACCTGCTCTCTCACCCTGTGAAGCCCAGGGCTATGGGAAAACAAGCAGCCCAGCCTTTTCCGGCTTCGCTGGTCTGCGACGGAATCTGTTCTGTAAACTTGAGTCAGCAGGAGATCAAGATGGAGTCTTCACTAGCACCTTTACTTTTAAAAGGAAAAATTAAACTCTGCTCATTGGTGAAAACTTGGAAAGTATTTTAAAAAACCTCCAGAACCTCAAAACCATGAGCCACCTCCAAAAGAGGCATAACCTAGCCTAACATTTTGACCGATAGCATAATTCCTCCATTAGAAGATATGTATAGTTTGCCATTGTCACTTTCTGGAAACCCAGGATGCCTGAAATCCAGGATTTGTCTACTAATTCATACATTTAACATAGTGTTTTCTGTTTTGTTTTGTCTCCCCCATTAAAAGTGGTTAATAAGTCGAAGGTGCGTCGTGCAGGCAGTATGAAATTAGAATCAAGGAAATACGGTATTCCCTTCCCATCCTTTGACTATGCACTATTTTCTCTGCACTGCCTTTCAATTTCTTTGCCTATACAGTGGTCACTGGAAAAGAAATCTCAACCTGAACTCTCATCCCCCACTTCACTCAACCTTCACAAGTCCTCCGTCCAGGTTAACCTTGTTGGGTGTGCACATCCTTCCAACTTTTTCTGTACACTAGTTGGATTCCTGCTTACCCTTTGTTTCTTGATATTAATCATATGAGCACTGTCAGATGTCACTAAAGACTCCTTATGATTTTTAATGACTGCATAATTTTCTTTCCTAGGAACAGAGTCAAACTTAACCATGTTCCTTATAGATTACATTGTATATATACATATTGGAGCTAGAATATATAAGTGGAATTTAAAGAAATGTAAAGAATTGCCACATCATCTACTTTAAAAATGTTCTAATAGCCACACTGAAAAGAGTAAAAGAAACAAAGGCACAGTTAGTATTAATTATGCATTTAATTTAGTCCAATAGATCCAACATTTAAGCATTTCTAACAGTCAGTATAAAAATTAAGTTATTTTACATTTCCTTTTAATACTGTTTTCAAAATCTCATATTTTATGTGTTTTACAACATCTCAATTTGGATGCGATATTTTTGTTAGAAATACTTGATCTATATTTTTACAAATGTGTAAGTTCCAAATGAACTACTTAATTGAAGCAATCTTAAAATTTACATTATAATTAAATGCAAAAATGCAATTCCTCAGTCAGACAAGTTACATTTTAAGTGCTCAGTAGCTTCAAGTGACTGTCAGCCACTGTGTTGGGCATTGGAGACAAATGTTTCAGGGTTTCAGCTGTGGGTTAGCCTTTGCCTAATGGTCTTTGTGCTGGGGCTAAAGCTCTTTAAAACCCTATAAACATGTTAGATATGTGAGGGATTTTGACTTATGTCCCATAGTGGGGCCATATGGCGGACCCAGTGTGGACCCTGTCATGGCCCAACAGCATCTGTCACCCAGGCCCATGCTCTCCCTGCACCTCCTACCAGCCCCGGCTGCTATGTCCTTCCCTTTCACAGAGAACAAGAAGCGCAGACGCACAGTCGATGACTCGTCCACCTCCACGGACTACTGCCCGCAACCGAAGCGCCTCAAGACAAACTATAACAATGGCAAAGACCGAGGAGAGGAGGACCAGACTCGAGGTGATTTAGGGGATCGTGAACACCCATTACCAGGAGGGCACATTGTGAGGACTGCTCAGCAGGGGTTAATTGATCAATAAGAGGCTCCCTGACCCCATGTCACCTTCTTTTCTCAACAGAGCAAATGGCTTTGGATGTTGCCAACAACAAGAGTAGTCTGGAAGGTAATGGTCATGCTCTCCCTCAAAGTCCTCACTTCCCGTCCTGGGTAGTTCCAGGCCTTTACCGATTGTCTATCCTGTCCTGCCTGCTGATAATGAAGGGAAGTCAGGGTGGCCCAAGAGTTAGCCACCTGGGCTCTGAAATCGTGATTATGGCTGTGTGTATAGTCATTGCGAAGTCCTTTCATGACGTGTCAGTGAGCAAATTGGTGTCACCACGAGTTGTCCAAAGTCCCAGTCTTTAAAGAGTCCCAGAGGTTTCTGTGCCAGGCCTTTGCAGCTTGTCCTGTGCGGGAGGTGCCCTTGCTCGGGTGTGTCCCACGCCTGGAGCGGGTCTGTTAGCCTGGGAGAGTTGTTGGAAAGAGTAAGCATGACGAGACCTTGTTTACTGCTGGCATGGAATAAGTGCTCAAGAACCGTAGACCCGAGGCTTTAGCAGCTGTCACTGGTCCTGAGCTGTCACAAGCTGCGCGCATGCTTTCTTACAGACAGCTGTTTGTCCTGTGGTAGGAAAAACCCCGTGTCCTTCCACCCTCTCTTTGAGGGGGGACTCTGCCAGACGTGTCGGGTAAGTCCTAACCCCTCCCTGGACTTTATTGCCCCTTCCCTCCTCCACAGCTTCCCTGTCATTCCCCAGAGAAAAGCACCTGCAGGTAGCCATTGGGGAGGGTTCTAGTGAAGCCCTCCCTGGCCGCCATCACCCCATCCTCCCCTCTGAGGGCAGGTGCTGCCACAGAGGAAGCCACCTGCAGTGGCACGCACACCCCAGCCAGTTGTTCCTATAACAAACCAAGCCACCAGGGACCTGTCCTTCGAGCAAGCGGGCCCGGGGGTCCCTGGTCTCCGTTGTCATGAGCGTTTCTCTCTGGGCACCAGGACCGGTTCCTCGAGCTGTTCTACATGTACGACGACGATGGCTATCAGTCCTACTGCACCGTGTGCTGTGAGGGGCGCGAGCTGCTTTTGTGCAGCAACACAAGCTGCTGCCGGTGAGCTTCAGACCAGCCATGTGGGTGAGACCCAGCAGGGCCCCGAGGCTCCCAAGGTCATACCTGTGATTCCTACAGCCCAAAGACCTCAGGCCCAGGACTGGGAATCAAGTGGACCTGAGGACAGGGGCCCAGAGTTACTACAGAAATGTCTGCGGGTGGGGCATGAGTTGTGGAAGCCTCCCGGGAGATTAGCCCTTCCGGGGATAGAGGTCTTTGCTGTGCGGAGCCGGTGCACTGAGGGTACTGACATCCTAGGAAAAGGTTGGTGTGTCCCACATCACACTGTAGGGCCGTTCTGCCCACGGGGGGAGCATCCGGTTTTTAGGCGGTGCATTACCATCCAGGAAGCAGGGCTATGGATGTAGGAGACAGGCCTGATGTCTTCTCTCCACTCCCGGCACAGGTGCTTTTGTGTGGAGTGCCTGGATTTGCTGGTGGGCACGGGCACAGCTGCAGATGCCAAGCTGCAGGAGCCCTGGAGCTGCTACATGTGCCTCCCTCAGCGCTGTCACGGGGTCCTGCAGCGCCGGAAGGACTGGAATGTTCGCCTGCAGTCCTTTTTCACCAGCGACCCTGGTCTCGAATACGTAAGCCACAGGCTCCTTCTAGCACCACCTACCCCAGAGAGTCCGGGGACTGCAATGCTCTCCAAGTCTGTTGGCAAGATTTCATAAAAAGGTCCATTATACAAACGACTGGCTGAGTAGCTCATCCTTCAGAGACGGAGATAATTGACATGTCCTTTGTACAGTCCTCAGGCTTCCCCAGTGGTCTTTTCTCTCTCCTTCGTGGCCTTTCGTGGTTTTTCTAAGGAAAGAGAAGCCCGTGACTTAGTCTTTAATTGTAGGAGGAGTGGATTTTCCTGGGCTCCATTCTACCAGGTCTGTGAGGCAGTCCCAGGTCTTCCTGTTTAGGGTGTCATGTCCTTTTGTGTGTGTGCATCTGTGTTCCATGTCTTAAGGGTAGAAGAGCCAGTCTGTGCCAAAGCTCTTAAGGGCATCCCTGCTAAGAAAGGGCAGAACACAGAGTTTGAGTCCCTCAGAGGAAGGTCAGCTCACCCCTCACCCAGAGGTTGCTCCTTTTCCCCTGTACCTTGACCTCCATGACCTTCTTTAACCTGGCAGGAAGCCCCCAAGTTATACCCTGCGATTCCTGCAGCCCGAAGGCGGCCCATTCGAGTCTTGTCCCTGTTTGATGGAATTGCCACAGGTGAGTTTGGAATTCACCTTGGGATGCTTACCTGGTCCAGGTGTCTCATCAGTGCCAAGCAAGAATCCTGGGATTGTCTGTCTGTTTTGAGAAAACCAATGACTTCTTGTTTCTCTCCTCAAATCCTCTCCACCATGTATTTCACCCGCTTTGGTCCTCTTGTTCCTTTTAAGTCATATATACATATTTCAGCTCTTTTTTTAAAAAAAAATATGGAATGCTTCACGAATTTGCATGTCATCCTTGTGAAGGGGCCATGCTAATCTTCTCTGTATCGTTCCAATTTTAGTATATGTGCTGCCGAAGCGAGCACCATATTTTAGCTCTTGCATTTTATTTGTATTATATGCAGATATCTTGGGAAATTATTTTTATTCCATAAACATGGATATACTGGAGATTAATAGACTTATCCTGTTAATATCCATTTTTTCTCCCATTCCTCCAGTTTCCACATGTGTAGAATAAGCATAACCTACAAGCATGTCGCCCTTGGGAGCTTTTCCTAATTTAACACATTTAATGCTCAAAATTTCCCTGGGATGTAGGAATATCTCCATTTTACCAGAGCAGGAAGCAGTGGGGATGAGGTGCTGTGCATTTAGCATCATTTGTACTTATGTGTGTCTACCAGTGTCCACCTGCCTAAAGCTGGCAGTTTTTAATGACGCTCAGGTCATGGCTAGCTGCTTGTTTCCCCCACCCTTTTGCATCTTCCACACCTGTTTATGCTGGCACAGGTGACCCACAGTGGAAAATGGAGCCTTGGCCATTGTCCCCTGACTTTGAGGTTATTTTCTAAACATGGTTTTGGTGAAGATCCCTGTCCTTGTGTCTGTGCTTGACTATGCTGGGGCAATGGCTGTAAACCTGTCAGTTTATGTGTGTGTGTGAGTGTGTGTGTGTGTGTGTGTTGTGTTTCGTTGTCTTAATCCTCACCTAAGGATATTTTTCATTGATTTTTTTTTTTAATAGAGTGGAAGGGATGGGGAGGGTGAAAAGAGGGAGAGAGAGAGACATGTGAGAGAGACACATCCATTGGTGCCTCCCGCCACCCCAATCTGGGCCAGGGATTGAGCCTGCAAACGAGGTACATGTCCTTGACCAGAATTGAACCCCGGACCCTTTAGTCTGCAGGCCTACACCCATCCACTGAGCCAAACCAGCCAGGGCTAGACATGTCAGTTTTAATAGGTCCTACCAGTGGGCTGTACCAGTTGATACATACCTATTTTCTTCACAAAACTCTATAGTCTGCAGACCCTGGTGTTTGAGCTCTGTAGTTTGTGCCATCTGCAGGTTTTCACATGAGGGCTACCATGTACTTGTGGGTCTGATGTGAGTTCTTGGATATGACTTAGAATCACTGGAGGCAAGATGACCCTGAGTGTATTTTCTGTCTCCCCAATCCCACACAGGGTACTTGGTCCTCAAAGAATTGGGGATCAAAGTAGAGAAGTATGTCGCCTCTGAAGTGTGTGAAGAGTCCATCGCCGTTGGAACTGTTAAGCACGAAGGCAATATTAAATATGTGAATGACGTCAGGAACATCACAAAGAAAAATGTGAGGACAGCCCGCACCCTGGGGGCTTTGTAACACCCTCCTCCTCGCCCTGAGCCCCACACAACCTCACAGCCATGCCCAGGGGTGTGGGAAAAGGTAACCTGTGGTCATAGCAGGCAAGCTATCTTGACAGGTTACCTGGAACCCAGGCTGTCTATCCCTCCATCCTTACTCCTATCCTCCTGTGAGACTGTTTTTCTTCCTCAGGTTGAAGAATGGGGTCCCTTTGACTTGGTAATTGGTGGGAGCCCATGCAATGATCTCTCAAATGTGAACCCTGCCAGGAAAGGCCTATATGGTGAGTATCCCTTTGTTTGGTAGCCCTAGAAGACCCTATGTCAACTGAGTGTTGGTCCAGCAGTGCCCTGAGGAGGAGCTCTTTGCTTCTTAACAGCCTTACCTGTCAGCTCTGTCCATGCCACATTGTGAAGCCTCAGTCCCCCAAGATACTTACAAATATTGCACTGCCGATGAAGGGAGTGCAGGGCAACACCCTCAGGTGACCCCTGGGAACCCATTGGTTGCAATGTGGAGGGGTGGTTTTGACCTCAGACAGCTATCTTCTTTTGTGGGCGCAGAGGGCACAGGCCGACTTTTCTTCGAGTTCTACCACCTGCTGAATTACGCACGGCCCAAGGAAGGTGACGATCGGCCCTTCTTCTGGATGTTTGAGAATGTGGTAGCCATGAAGGTTGGCGACAAGAGGGACATCTGTCGGTTCCTGGAGGTGAGGGGACCTAGGGTCAAGACTACATTAGCGGGGAAGGCCCTGCTGGCAATGAGGGTGGGGCATTTCTATGTTGTGAATTATTTTGGAGATTTTAACTGAAGACCTGGCTAGATCCCAGAATCATGGAGTCGAGTTGATTGATTCTCTTTTGTTCAATCTCCTTTGGTTCAAATACTTTTGAGGGGGGGAAAAAATTGATCTCTAAGTTATCCTGAACCTACTGAAGTCGGATGATGAAACAAACCATCACTTTTGGATATCTCATGGGATTTGACTCCGGTTATTACTCTAGAGAGTTTTTTAATCCTTATTCTGAGAATTGCTTCTTTAGGGCACGCAGATAGGTTCATTATCCAATCCTTAATATGAATTAAACATTGTAGTAAATACTTTTTATACACTTACAACGTCCTTTAGTTTTCCCCAAAGCTTTACAGCTTAAGTTCTGTGAGAATGATTATAGAACTGGCTAGTTAGTTCTCTCATGCTGTGTGAACCTGACAGATGGGTGTCAGGGGGCATATGTTGCCAACCCTGCATTCCCACACCAGGGGCTTGATTTGTCAGATTTTTCTTTTGAGCTGTCTTTGTCACTTGTCCATTCCATAATAATCTGGTGCGCCCCAGCCCATACCTTCTCAGAACTTGCAGGTCTGACCTGGTCTCTTTTCCCACCGTTAATATGGGGCACTAGCTGTGCCTCCAGCCAGATTCTTGCTGAAGATTGGTCTGCCCCTTAGCTGGCAGGAATCATGTGTCCTCGATAGCTAAGGAGCAGCCCTGTCACCTGCCCCACTCTGGTTGCTACCTGGATCCTGCCGTGGGCTCCTGGCAGCTAGTTGTTCTTCTGTCTCCCGACAGTGTAATCCAGTGATGATTGATGCCATCAAAGTGTCTGCTGCTCACAGGGCCCGATACTTCTGGGGCAACCTGCCCGGGATGAACAGGTAACACAGGGCTCTGAGTGGGACAGATAACAGCCAAGTGAAATGCATCTAATGGTCTGAGCTCTGACTGGTTTACTCACGTGAGACAGAGCCACCCTGGGCTTCAGACCAATCTCTGGTGTTATAGATTGACATCTGCTAAGATGTAACTACTACCTGGAAACCTCAGGCCAAGATTCCTCAGTCTGCTCCAACTTGTTTCCTGCTCTGCCCAGGGGCCTGGCTCTTACAGTGCGTGTGCTGGAGCAGACAGGCGTCTTCTCCCACTGGAGATGCTCATGCTTTATACCCCACCTCTCCTCATTGCCTGTCCCACTGGGAAATGCAGGAGAGGCTTAGACATGCCCTTCTCCCTCATATGACCAAGCAGGTGGCAGAGCTGAGATGACACCCTGTCATCCTTGGATTTTCTTAGCCAAGAACTTTCCCCAGTTTTTCATTAGTCCATTCATATTACTGAGCTTTAGTTATATTCTATATGTGGTTTCAGGGCTGTGTGGTGTCCTAATTAAGATACAAAACGTGATGGTAATTTGACATCCCAGACTTGCAGATACGTTAAGCTTAAAAAGATTCTCTTTTAGAAGGAAGTGTTGGAAGCATAAATAACTCTGGCATTTTTAGCAAAATGTAGATAGAGGCAAGAAGTTACTGGTGTAGCTTGGAGGATTTCTTCTTGGACATCTTGGCATTTTAAAAAAATTAAAAAATATATTTTTATTGATTTTAGAGAGAAAACATGAGAGAGAAATACTGCTGCATACTCCCCACTGGGGATGGAGCCCAAAACCCAGGCATGTGCCCAACCTGGTACATGGGCCAATGCTCAGCCACTAAGCCATAATGGCCAGGCATCTTGCAATTTTATTTGGGTCGTCACCCAATCAGATGGTGCAGTGCCATCGGAATTTGGAGTGAAGTGGGCTCATTCACTGAACTCTGCTTCCGTAGCAGTCACTGTTGTAGCTGCCAGTTTACTGGTGAACACATCAGATGTAAGTCTTCAGCGTTCACGTGCTAGTGGGGGGTGGGCAGAGAAGACAGTAAATGATTTCAGGGTCATGGCTGGAGGGGGCAGGGCATTGGAAGAGTTGATGGGAAGGCTTCTCATTCCAGCAAGGACCTGAAGTAGGAATGGAGCCATAGTTATTTGAGAGAACATTCTAGGCAAAAGGAAGAGAGTAAGGGCGGAGGAAGGGTTGCAGGTCATTCACAGACCAGGTCAGAGAACAGTGTTCCTCATTTGGTGAGAGGCTGTACGAGGAGGACAGAGAACTCATTAGTATGGGCCAAATTATGTGAGGCCTATGGGTCCACTTAGATTTACTTTGGGGATTCTAAGAAGTTTTAAGCTGACAACTTGTGTCCTAGATTCATGGTAGTTTCTGGTAAAATAGATGATAGTGGGATGAGGGCAGAAATGAAGAGAAACTTGAGATGGTCATGGTCCTTTAGAGGAGCCTGACTAATTATTGATGCCCCAGGAAGTGCCATTCATACACACATTGCACCTTGGGGCGTTGTAATTCCCTCCAGTTCTGTGAAATTTAGCAGGAGGAATTAGATTCAAGATAACATGAGTGTTGGACTTTCAGGACTTGCTGAGGCACTGGATGTGCCGCAATAAAAGATGATAATCAGAGTCAGCAAAGATGCCGCAAAGTTTTCTGTCTGAGCTGTGATAAGAATCAAGCTGTAGCACTATAGCCGGCACTACAGGGTTCTAGAATGATGACTCAAGCACAAACCAGGGGTCACAGACCCAAATCCAGCCTGGAGGTGAAAAACCTTAGAATCAACATAGGTAGGGATGTGCTCTGTCCTTTTCCCCAAGTCCCTCAGCTCCCTTGGATTATAAGAAAAGCTGGGGATGGCAATAGAGTGGCACTGGAAATGTGGAAGGTAAGGTCAAGGAAGATTGATGAACCTAACGGAATGTTTCGTGTGATTCAGTGGCCTCTCTTGTGGGCACTGTTTCCATTCTTATGTCTGTTTTGTTTGTGACCTTGAGGTTCCTTACATGGGAGCTGCCGAGGTATTGATCAAGTGTGGATACAGCGTTCTTGATGGTTTCTGCTCTTGAACTGCTCAACCACTTTGGTTCTAAAGCTCTACCCACTCTGGGCACCCGTTTGCCTTTCTCTGCATTTGCAGGTTTGTTTGATGGTGCGAGGTACAAGGGTAGTTAGTGTTTTTTGAACCACCTCCTGTCCTTCTACCTGCATCCACTGTTAGTCCTTAGACCCTCCTGTGGCGGCATCCCTAGCAGCGAGCCACCGAATCATGGCTTTGCAATGCTCTGTGTAGCAGGTAGACCCACAAAGATCTAATCCAAGCTCCTGAGACACTAGGTCTGGTGTAACTGCTCAGATCATCACTCGGTTAGTAATCGGGCTGGGATCGGACTGGGTCTCCTGACTCTTTCCAGTGTGCGTCCCCATTCCTGCTCTACTCAATGGGAGCCTAATTTGACTGATCTTAAAATTTGAGGTAGAGGATCATTTATTCCTCGACATTGATCTTGCCCCTTAAAGGGGCTAGCGGCTAGCCTGTCCCTGGCTTTGGCACACAGCTTGGTGCTTATGCCAGGATCTTTATCACCATGTATTTATTTACTTGTCGCAGTTCATTGCCAGAGCACATTTTGCAGGCTTAGGCCCTCACTCCCACCTTGGGAGGTGCCTAGCTAAGGCCCATTGACAGATGGTAGAAAGTAATGGGTTTTGGCTGTTCCCAGGCCCGTGATAGCATCAAAGAATGATAAACTCGAGCTGCAGGACTGCTTGGAGTTCAATAGGACAGCAAAGGTAAGATGCGCTCACAAACAGTCTGCGGAAAATGCACTTGGTGACAGTCAAGCGGGACTTGATCTTGGTACCCAGTGTGTTCCTGCCCCTCTCCCCTCACATGTAACTCCTTGGTGCTGGCCTCTTTCCCCACATGATTGTTCTGTCCTGCCTGTCAAGTACAGAGTAGGAGTGGTTCTTAATAAACAATAATCACTATCTGAGAAAAGGCAACTAGACTTTCTAATTTTGAATGCACATGCCATAGAGACACACATAATTTCAGCTGGTCCTCCCAAGAAGTGAGTAATTAATACTTTGCCAAAAGGAATAATTATCTGCTGGCAAGTCCTAGATAATTATATTAAGATGTCCATAAACTTAATTCTTAATGTTTACATCAAGCTAAAATCCTGGTTTGGTTGACCATTCCCTATATAATCTTGGGTGGATTGTTACATTTCGCTTAATGTTGCTTGATCCATAGTTCTCTTGGCACCCATGTGATCTCATTCATGGTCACATTTTTATCTCTTGTTCTCTCTGAGGCTGGTCCTTTCTGTGCATTAACTTCTTGGCGCTTGTGGGAAGCACAAAATGTTCTTGTCCTTCCAACTCTCCTTTTCTTATTCTCTCTGCGAGCCCAGCACTGCCACCTTCTCTCCCCTACCTGCCGCCACCCCCCATCTTCCCTAGGTGCTTCTGAGTCTTGACTCATCCCCAGAACCCTTCATTCCGTGCTCACTGCATGATGTCATTTTGTTCTCCAGTTAAAGAAAGTACAGACAATAACCACCAAGTCGAACTCGATCAGACAGGGGAAAAACCAACTTTTCCCTGTTGTCATGAATGGCAAAGAAGATGTTTTGTGGTGCACTGAGCTAGAAAGGTGAGCGAGGCTGCATGTGGAAAGGGAATGATGCAGGCAGAGAGGAAGGGGAAGAAAAGTGGTCAAGGCCAGCAGCACAAATTAGGCTTGCTTGCCTGCCTTCATTCTACATGGACCCACTGATCTACGTTAGTGGGGCTGGGAGTAATACCTTTTCAGAGTTAGTCCTTATTTCCCGCCGTACATGGCGGAAGGGTGGTGGTGAGGAGGAATCTGACATGAGGTCATTAGACAGCACAGTCTGTGTGTTGGCTGTGCTGCCCTGGCGTCTGCCTGCCTCAACATGCTGGGACTAGGATGTAAGCAACCAGCTAAAGAAAACCCCACCAACATGCCATTGCTCTTTCTCAGAAGATTCCTTCTGCCAAGTTGCTCTTCTATAGCTGATTCCCACTTAGCCACACATCTCTATTTGTTTGGCTAAGTTTGGTAGCTTACCTATTTTGATTCAAAGAACTAACTTTTAAGTTTCAGTTCTCCTATTCTGGTTTCAATTTGTTTTTCTCATTCCTTTTGTTTTTCTTGTTTATTATCTTATTTTTGTTAGAATATTTTTGTTAAAAATGTAAGAAGGGCTATGGATATTCCTCTCTACATTTTGACTGTCTTGAAGGATTTGATATGCAGTATTTTCATTCCTCATATTTCAGTTCTACAACCACTTTTATTCTTTACTAAACAGTAGTTTTCTTAGTACAAAAGTTCTCATTATTAGAAACAAACTGGTCCTGTGGATTATTCTGTACAGTTGATCCCTGAACAACACAAGTTTGAACTACGTGGGTCCATTTATATGCAGATTATTTTCAATAAATACCAGAACATTTTCAGAGATTTGCAACAATTTAAAAAAACATCACAGATGAATCATGTGGTCTAGAAATGTTGAAAAAATTGAGAAAAAGTTAGGTATGCCATAAATGAATAAAATATATGTAGGTACAACATTTATGTTCTGAAGAACCCTGCACCTGACCTCTGGGGGTCAAGAGAGGGGTCATGTGCAAATGAGTAAAGGGAACATAAGTATATTCTTTTCTACAAATTTTAAATTCCAATAAAAATGAAAAGTAAAAATAATAAAATAGTGTCTTCCTAAAATAAAAAAAGAGGGCTCATAGGGTGGGCCCGGACACAGGGCAGAAAGAGTGGCGCCTGGTGCCATCCTGGCCACGGTGAGGATCTCCCGTGGGTACTAAGTAGCTGCAGGTGGCGGTTGTGACTCCTGTCTTTCTACTCTGGTGCCCCCAGGATCTTCGGCTTTCCTGTACACTACACGGATGTGTCCAACATGGGCCGTGGTGCCCGCCAGAAGCTGCTCGGGAGGTCCTGGAGTGTGCCTGTCATCCGACACCTCTTCGCCCCCCTGAAGGACTACTTTGCCTGTGAATAGTCCCCCAGCCACTCTGGGGCACTGGGGTGTTGGGGCAGAGCTGGGACCCAGGAGGTACATCCCAGGCTCTGTCCTTCCTTAGCTCAGCTGTGTGGGGTCACACCATGGATCTTGGGCCACAGCCACCCGACACCCTCCTGGCAGGGGGTGCCCAGGTGCCACCTCCTTGCGCACAATTCAACTTGGCCTCTTAGAACGGCCAAACACGGTGCTCATATTATCTTGTAAAACTTTGAAACTTGAAGTAGTTAGTAAAGATTGCTTTTTTTCCCCTCCCTCCTGGGTTTACCGCTCAGAAACAATAGCTAATGTACCAAAACCACAGTGCTGACATGACTGCTCTCCCATACTCAGGTTAAGGCTGAAAAGTGAACCGAGACAGTTACTGCAATACTTTATTTTTTAAGCGTCTGCAGCAACTTGTTTCCAGGTGTGTACAGTGGTAGACATGTAGCTGAGGGACATTTTAAGGGACCGGGATGCTTTTTTTCTAGGGCAGATTTGGAAATGATGTCTGCCATGCTTGAATTTTACCCAGCATGTTCCCCTCACCTCAGTATAAAGGGCTGGGATGCAATGTTGGGGCCCATTGAGAGTATTGTCCACACTGGTGATAGTTTCAGGGCTATTTTTCCCCTAGACCCAAGGGGAGGAAGGGTCACCCTTAGCTAAATCCCTCCCAGTGACTGCAATAGAACCCTCCAGGCAGCTCAGGAAGGAAGGGGTGGGCTGGGTCATAAGCTGACATATTATATAGGTAGGTATGGCCACTCACTATCTCTTCCCCATGTGAGGAGTGAAAGAGGACCCTTAGGTAAGGACTCCACCCCCCCCCCCCCCACACACAAATGCACCCTCCCTTCATCACAGATACAGGTCCCCCAGATTAGAAGTATGACCCTAACTCCTCAGTCTTTCTCGAAACACAGAAGCAGTGATAGCCAGGGGCAGAAGCACATTCCTCGCATCTAAGAGATTGCAGGGGGAACACTGTAATAAAAGCGTGACCCTCCTTCCAGAGATTTTTAAAGTCCTTTTTTATTCCATGATAATTCTTTTGTAGGGATAACATGAGGTGGACAAGCTGCATTTCAGAAATGCTGTTGTAATGGTTTTTAACACCTTTTACTCTTCTTACTGGTGCTATTTTGTAGGATAAGGAATATTATTGACAGGTTTTGTGGGCGTTTTTTTTAATACATTTTTTAAAACTCAGACTTCTATTTTTTTTTTTTACCATTTTCATAGAAGTTTTTTGTGTGACGGGAGTCACATAACAAGAATGGGGGTAAATTGTGCCTTGTTTCAACAAGTTTTTGTTATTTTTGGGGCTGAAAGATAAAGGACGCCTGTTGTTTACCTTATGTTGGATTAAAATCAGTATTTCTCTATAACTGTCTGGTGTCCTTTGTGTTCTTTTGCAGGCCAGATGGGTGGGATGGGAGGAGAGCCTGGCTCAAGTGCAAAGGTGGGCTGTTGACGTAGGTCAGTCATCCAAAGCACAGTGAATGCAGGCAAGGACTAGGGCTCTGGTCTCCAAACTCCAATGGAGACCCTGACAGGCTTATTCAAGAGATTTCTGGGCCCCACCTTGAGTTTTCGATTCATTGAATGTGTAGTGGAGACTGAGAATTCCATGCCTTTGGGTCAGGGATCACACTGGGCTAGTAAATGGGTTTCTAAATCGTGGCTTCAAAAATAAGTGACTGGAATCTTAAAGGCTTGTTGTCTCCCAGTTCTTTATGCCTCTAGCACCCCTTCAGGGAGGGGACTTGGCAGCCCCAGGGAAAGGACTGGTTGGGAGTGGCCCCTTGATCTAACATAGCTGCCTATGGCTTTAGCTTTTTGGGAGGGGTATGTGCCTGTTGCTCTTCTGAGTTTAACATGGCAACTCCCTTCAGTAGTTCTGTCCTGGGACCACTTAGCCAGGTGTCCCAAGCCCAGAGTGTGCCATAATCCTGGTGTCTCACTGAGGTAGGATAGGAAGAAGCTGGGAAAATTCCTTGGCAAGTGGGATAGGGAAACAGTTCCATGACCAGTTTGCATCCATCTAGTAAATCCTATCTTCCTTAAACCAAGAACACAATGGTTTAAGCCCTGGCCGGATAGCTTTGTTGGTCAGAGTATTGTACTGATATGCTCAGGTTGTGGGTTCAATCCCTGGTGAGGACACATACAAGAATCAACCAATGAATGGATAAGTTGAGGAAAAGATGGATATTTCTCCCTCTAAAAATAAATTTTTAAAAATGTAAAAGTAAATGGTTTACACACTTCTCCCAAATCGATAAATAGTTTAAATCACAGTAATAACAACCTGCCATTTGTGCCAACCACAGGCAAGAACAGATGAAGTTAAGGGAATAAATCTCATTTTGGCATATCAGCATAAAACATGAATATTCTATTGGGAATATGAAAGAGCTTAGCATAGAAGCTAAGCTCCCCTAATACCTCCCCCAAACTCCCAGCCTTTAAAAACCCTCAAAATGAAGCTCCCAGGGTGAGCCTGTGCCCTCGGCGTACCTCACTTACCCCTCAGCATGGGACTCTAAGGGACCCCAGGAGACGCAACCAGGGGAGTAATGGGCAGCGGCTAACCCCCTAAACCTGTCTCCAAAGCCCCCTTTCCTCTGACTTCCCAGTGAGCTAAAGCAGCCCCACCTCAGCTCATTTCTTCCCTATACCTTTTAGGGAACCAAAGCAGCCCAGCTTAGGCTGTCCTGTTCTATGCTAAGCCTTCCTTGTTTCACTGTCCTTGTTTCACCGTTAATAAGTGTACCCTCAAAATCACCTAGACTTGCTCTACCTGGTTTGGCTCAGTGGATAGAGCATGGCCTGTGGACTGAAGGGTCCTACCTGGGTTCTATTCCAGTCAAGGGCACATTCCCAGGTTGCAGGCTCGATCCCCAGTGGGGGACGGCAGCCGATCAATGATTCTCATCATTGATGTTTCTATCTCCCTCTCACTTCCTCTCTGAAATCAGTATTTTTTTTTTTTAAAAAAATCACACTTTTGTTGTGAAATATTTCCTGCATGAATTCAAGAACCCAACACCACCGGCCAGCCCTAGGCAGACCCTCTAAGGGCCAGGTCCCCTTTTGGTAATATCACTCCCTCTAGCCTAGTCAGGGAAAAGGAGTCTACAAAGATTTAAGGGAGAAAGGTGTGTAAATGGGGGATGCCCATGTAGTGTATCAGCTGAGCATTACTTGGACTTGGTATCTCTGAGCCTCTGTTACTTCATATGTAAGATAGATTATAATCCTAGCCACCTCCATGATTGTAGTTGTGTGCCTTCAGATTGAGCTCCTAAGTGATATGGCCCAGGTTTGGAGTGAAGAATGAGAAACCAAATTATGTTTTTAGATGCTGCTGGGCTACAAACAGTGAGTCGCTATGGTGAGACAACTGGCAATTAGTGAGCTGGTTGGCACTCCTCTCTGAGGTGCTGAGACCCCAGGGACCTTAGCTGCCCTGTTAAGCCATCTTGTGTACAGTGCTGCACCAAATGCCAGGACAGGATGAAGCAAAATAAACAGCCCCGGCCTCGAAACGCCAAGAGAGGAGATGGACGAGCCTTCCAGGTGAGGGGCCTTTGATCCTAGCCTGCCTGTGGGGCAGACTAGGGGAGGCCTGTCCTATGGGGGCAGTTCTTTATGAGTTTTCTCAAGATGGCGAGAGTTGGTAACAAGTGATCGCAGGCTCAGTGGCAAGGGGATGAATGTTCCGCACCTGTGGGCCTTTTATGAAGCAATCTTCCAGGGTCTGGCATGTTTCCAGGATCACTGTGGGCAGGTGACGCTTGGACTTTTTGTTTGGTTTTCTTTTTATCTCTAAAAGGTGGGGATCATAAATCCTATCTACTTCCTAGGGCTACTGTGAGCGTTCTTGGGCATGATCTGGGGAAAGTGCTTTGCCTGGTGCCTGGCATGAGCAAGCCCTCACATGCATTGGATGGTATTGTGATATGGCAAGCTATTAACACAGTGTGAATGACTGGGTACCGGAAGTGATGGTAACATGCAACATTTACTAACATATTAATTATTTATTATGTATTAATAATAAAAGTTTAAAAATTAAAGGACAGGGTAATATTCCCCCAGATGTTGCAGAGGAGCTGGGCGGTAGCAACAGCAGCATCTGGTATTGAAGTTGTGTCCATCACCACACCCCACAGGGTTCCCTTGCTCCTTGTTAGGGAGAGTATATGGGTGTGGACAGGATCTTTCTTGGGGATGTAGGGACTGGCCTCTGGACAGCACCAAACAAACAGGGTCTGCCACTGGACCTCAGTTCCTAAGGTTTTCTTGCCAACTGCTACTTCTTGAATGATCCTCTGTTCCCGGCCTGGGTTGGTCCTTGATTCCTCTCTGCAGCCAGGCTGGGTGCCCATTCTAGCTTTATCCCCTCCTGAGTTGTGACCTTAGGTGTTCCTCATAGGCTCTCTGCCTCAGTTTATCCAACTGTAAAACAGTGATAAATGATATCAACCTCTTAAGGCTGATGTGTGAATCAAATGATTCAGCATATGTGAAGTGCATAGAAGAGTGCTGAGCAAATGGCACTGCTTTATTGCTATGCTAGAGAATCCTCCTAGCAACCCTGGAGTGAGGCTGTGATCACCATGATTATAGGTAAGAGAACTGAGACTGCGAACTCCCTTAATAAACCCAAGCCACCCAGCTACTGGAAAAGGAGTTGTGAGGTGGAATCTGTTCTGTGTAGCCAACATCTACTACTATTTCTCCTTGGTCTTACTTGCATCTATTTCTTTATTTTTAATTTTTTTTGTATGTGTAGTTTTATTTTTTGTTTTGCTGGAGCTTGAAATTACTTGCTAACCTTTGCAGCATGGGATGCAATTTGCCTATTTTCCTTTCTTCCTTCCCTACTTTCTTCCAACTTATCTTCCCACCTTCCCTCCAACCTTTCTACCTTCTTTCTTCCTTCTGTTTAATGTTATTGATTTGTTAAATTTATTTTTAAAAATTATTATTGAATTTATTAGGGTGACATTGGTTAATAAAATTATATAGGTTTCATCAGAAAAATACCCATCACCCAAATTCCTCAAGTGTTAACATTTTGACGCATTTGTTTTGTCATCCTCTCTATTATTTTTTTCTGAACAACTTGAGAGTAAGTTGCAGGTCTCTTTACCCTTAAGTCTTTCACTGTGTATTTCCTAAAGACCAGAACATTGTTTTACATAACCACACTACATTTATCACAATCAGGTAATGAATATTCACTCACTTCTTTATCTAGTCTACAGACCTTATTTACATTTTGCCAATTGCTCCAATAATGTCTCTATAGAAGAAGAAAAAATATATAAATAAATAAATATATTTTGACTAGTATCTATTCCAGAATCATACATTGCACTTGGTTATTTTTTACTTTTAAAACTTTTAGTTAGTTGTGAAATATACAAAGAGAACCGTGTACATATAAATCCTGGTGCTTCGGGCCTTATAACCTACCTGTGCTCTCTGAGCTGAGGTTCATCCTAAACTCTCAGCATTGTGTTGTAGGCAGAGGGAACCAGGTGTTAAACGGTGGGGTCAGACCGGACATGGGTTCAGCAACCTTGGTACTTGAGTTCTGTCTAGGAAAGAATTCAGAGCCAAGAGTCCAACTGTAAAAGAACATTTATTTGGTAAGTCACAGAGGTAGAAAAAGTGATTCCTAGAAGAACTGGGCTTAGGAAACAAGTTATAGAGGTAAAGGAAGGGCCCTTGGAGCTTGGGAAGGTAATGGTATCACTCCTGGGGGGTGGGGTGAGGGAAAGGTGCTGGGTCCTCCTTAAGGGTGATCTTAGGGACAGTCCCAGGGGAAAATCTTAATAGAATATTCAGCAGCTTTCTAGGTGTGTCCTTTCAGGGTCTAGGTCTCCACTGATTGATTGGTGGGCACCAGGGCAGGGGGTCATTATCCAATGCAGCTGGTCCTGAGGTCAGCCGTGGGGTCACTGGTCTGGTTTTGTTGCTCTTCTGGGCTTGGAGCTAAAATACAACTGAGGCCTAGTTGTCTCTAGGGAGCAAAGGTCAGGGGGTCCAAACCGCATGACCAGTGATATGCTGGGGAGGAAAGGTCACCCTGGGGGCAAGGTCCCACCTTACATTTGTCCTCTGCTGGGCACCCAGGATTTTCCACCCCGATGACCTTCTGTACCTGGCCCATCATCCTTGCTATGCTCATGTCTGTCTAACTGCCTACCACAATTGCAGAAACAGAGCAGAGGTTGGCACATGCTGTTCTCTGGCTGGAACAGCCTTCTCCCCTATGCCTGACTAGTCCTCTGGTTCTAACCTCTCCCAGGAAGCCTTCTTTGCCCCCATTCCAAAGCAGGATTAGGAGCCATTCCCTAATCTGAGTTCTTCT